CGGGCTCCAACTGTGCTGGGGAAGCGCCCAGCCGGGGGTCTGGAGGCTGCCCGGCAAACCGTGAAGCCGGTAGTGCCCGGGCTTCGGGCAGCCCCCTTGCCTCCGGCCCCCAGCCGCTGGCCGGGCGCTTCCCCTCCCGGGCTCTAGCTGCTCTGTTCCGGCGACGCAGGTTCTGGAGGCAAGGGGGCTGCCCGAAGCCCGGGCACTACCGGCTTCACGGTTTGCCGGGCAGCCTCCAGACCCCCGGCTGGGCGCTTCCCCTCCCGGGCTCCAACTGTGCTGGGGAAGCGCCGGCTGGAGGCACAGGGTCTGGAGGCTGCCCGGCAAACCATGATGCCGGTAGCGCTCGGGCAGCCCTTTTCGCATGGCTGGGAGGGAGGAGGGGGAGTTAGGGCGGGGACTTTGGGGAAGCGGAAGGGGCAGAGTTGGGGCGGCGGTGGGGCTGTGGTGGGAAAGGGGCAGGGCAGGGGCCTATGGAGTGTCCTCTTTTTTATTTTTTAAATATGGTAACCCTAAACCTACTGTTTTACAGAAGCTTCATATACACCACTGTCTCCAGCCACAGACTCATCAGACACTGCAGCAGATACACAAGTTGCTTTCTCCTCAAGCAGCTGACTTACTGCTCTTCTTGGTAAGTCGACACCTAAGCAAGGGAGGAAGAATAAAAATTAGTGCTAGACAATTACCAGCAAGGTAACTGCACAGCTTAGAACACTGTCAAGTTGAAAGTGATGACCCTTAGCTCAATTTCATGGAGTAATTCTGTTTCACCCCACTGAACAGATACAGGATGTATTACTATTGTTGCTTATTCTAGTTAGGGGGTTACATGTCTAAACTGATGAGCTTGAAAATGCAGAACTATTATTCCCTTCCCAAACACAGGCTTCTCTCACCCTTATTAGTCTTTATCTTGAGCTTTGAACCTACATTTCCAATTTTAAATTCTCACTGTAATAAAATTTCAGCAGCACACAAGACCAGGGCTGACAACTATGTTTTATTAACAATATATAAGTGACATAGAAGCTTCAGGATTTCCCTCCTAGAAATGCAAACTCCCATTTGGTTTAGCCAAGGAATGCCTAACACTATCATCAAAAACCTTTAGCACCAGCTACTACTTAATTTTAACCTCCGAGTCATATTCATATGCTAGTGTCCTGCAGTGAACACACAGCATTAGTTGAAAGCATCATTTTGCCGTGAAATAAGTTGCAGGCCTATGGAGCTTTTTTTTTTTTAATTTGCAAAGGAGTTAGGATATTGGTATGTGTTATGCACACCTCCTGAGTCATGACTTTACATCTTGTTAAGATGTTAAAAATTTCAGGCTTCGGTTTAGAGGATCGATTGCTACATTTCTGCTTTTATATGTAGCAGTACAGATGCTTTTTCCTTGATGATGAAGTGCTCCCCCCTCCACTCATGTGAGGGGTGAAGGTGATGACAAGATTTATTGATTACTCCCAGGAATAAGCACAGACGCCTGAAATTGACTTTGACAATGACAGAGACTGACTGTGGAAGAACTTCATGGTTATTCCGAGTTGGCTGCTGCCAGCAGGGACCTGTAGAGGAGAGTAAATCTGTATGTACTTCACCTATACAGAAGCGCCTACAAGAGACAAGTACAGAGGCACTTTATCTGCAGAGAAGTTTTGTATTGTAATAGGTGGCACTGGAAGCACCACCTATAGTTAACTTTATCTGCTTTCCATTATAGAACCTTATTTTTAGTTGCTTATAATACTCTGTCAAACTTTAACCATTTAGGCTGAAATTTTCCGTGTAAGATGTCTGCCTCAGACTGTACTTTTTTTTTTTTTTTTTTTTTTTTTAAGTTTCAGCTAAAGCAGTCCAGCCATTTCCAAGATTTAAATTAGGGAAAAACAGGTTTTGCCTACATTCAAAAAATTCTTATAACCATTTCACTGAGGAGCTCTAACACTCTGATGCTTTGGTACATGGACTTGAATTTGGTGAGGTATAGGGGAAGTGCCCTAGTGTCAGGCATGTGCCTTTTGCTGCTTTGTGAAACTCCACATAAATTAGACCAAATTATAAGCCTATTAAAAAAACCTGCAGTTTGCACATGATCCGTAGAAGCTTTTTAAAATTTGACAGCTAAATTCTCAAGTCAGGTCTACCCTTAAAACACTGTAGCGCCAATGGGAGTTTTCCCGTCGGCATAATTAACCCACCTCCATGAGAAGCGGTAGCTATGTCGATGGGAGGGCTTCTCCTGTCGACACAGCGCTGTCCACACCCATGGTCAGGTCAGTAGAAATGCTTTGCTTGGAGGGGTGGGGTGGATTTTTCACACCCCTGAGCAACAGCGTTATACCAATGTAAGTTTTACTTTAGACCTGGCCTCAGACTATTCCATCTGCACTGAGCAAGCTCTATCCCCCTAGCTGCAGAGGTGAAAGTAAGCTGGTA